CTTTTATTTCTCTTTGGTGTCTGATTGCTGTTGCTAGGACTTCTAATACTATGTTGAACAAGAGTGGCAAGAGTGGGCATCCTTGTAGTGTTCCTGATCTGAAAGGGAAGGCTGCCAGCTTTTTTCCATTGAGGATGACATTCACTGTGGGTTTTTCATAGATAGATTTTATGAAGTTGAGGAATGTTCCCTCTATCCCTATACTTTGAATCGTTTTAATCAGGAACGGATGTGTATCTTGTCAAATGTTTTTTTCTGCATCAGTTAAGAGGACCATATGGTTCTTCTCTCTTCTCTTATTGATTTGTTCTAGCACATTGATTGATTTGTGAATGTTGAACCACCCTTGCAACCCAGGGTTAAATCCCGCCTCGTCATGGTAGATAATCTTTTTAATGTACTGTTAGATCCTATTAACTGGGGTCTTGTTGCCAATCTTGGCATCCATATTCATCAGGGATATTGGTCAGAAATTCTCATCTTTGGTGGGGTCTTTACCTGGTTTGGGGATCAGGGTAATGCTGGCTTCATAGAAAGAGTCTGGAAGTTTTGCTTCTGCTTCAATTTTTTGAAACAGCTTCAGGAGAATGGGTATTATTTCTTCCTTGAAAGTTTGGTAGAATTCTCCAGGGAATCCATCGGGTCCCAGGCTCTTGTTTTTTGGGAGGTTTTTGATCAATGCTTCAATCTCGTTACTAGATATTGGTCTATTCAGGTTGTCAATTTCTTCCGGTTCAATTTTGGGAGTTTATAGTTTTCCCAGAATGCATCCATTTCATCTAGGTTGCTTAACTTATTGGCATATAACTGTTGATAATAACTTCTGATGATCGTTTCTACTTCCTTGGTGTTAGTTGTGATCTCTCCCTTTTCATTCATAATTTTATGAATTTGGGCTTTCTCTCTTTTCTTTTGGATTAGTGTGGCTAATGGTTTATCGATCTTATTGATTCTTTCAAAAAAACCAGCTTCCAGTTTCATTGATGCATTCTACTATATCTCTAGTTTCCATCTCATTGATCTCTGCTCTAATCTTGATTATTTCCCTTCTTGTGTGTGGGGTTAGCTTAATTTGTTGTTGATTCTCTCGTTGTTTAAGGTGTAGAGACAGCTGGTGTGTCCTGGATTTTTCAATTTTTTTGAGGGAGGCTTGGGTGGCTATGTATTTCCCCCTTAGGACCGCCTTTGCTGTATCCCATAGGTTTTGGACTGAAGTGTCTTCATTCTCATTGGTTTCCCTGAATTGTTTAAGTTCTTCTTTGATTTCCTGGTTGATCCAAGCATTCTTAAGCATGGTGATCTTTGGCTTCCAGAAGTTCGAATTCCTTCCAAACTTCACTTGTGGTTGAGTTCCAGTTTCAAAGCATTGTGATCTGAGAATATGCAGGGAATAATCTCAGTCTTTTGGTATCAGTTGAGTCCTGATTTGTCACCCATTATGTGGTCTATTCTGGAGAAGGTTCCATGTGCACTCGAGAAGAATGCGTATTCTCTTGTTTTAGGGTAAAATGTTCTGCATATATCTACGAGGTCCATCTGGCCCAATGTGTCATTCAATGCTCTTGTTTCTTTATTGATTTTCTGCTTGGATGATCTATCTATTACTGAGTGGCATATTATGATCCCCTACTATTAATGTATTCATATCAATATGACTCCTCCCCCTCAGGGATCCCAATAATTCTGACATTGGAATGTTTCATGGTGTCATTTATTTCCCTAATTCTGTTTTCATGGTTTCTAAGCTGATTGTTCCAGGCCTCCTCCTGATCCTTTTTCTCTATCAGTTTGTCCTCTAGATCACTAATTATATCTTCTGTGTCAGTTTCCCTAGATGCTAGAGAATTTAGATTAGATAGCACATTGTTAATATCTTCCCTGGTGGCTTTCACTTCTGTCCTAATCAATTCCATTTTGTCATTTATGGTTTTCTCCAACCTAGCTGTTGCCTGGATAATTGTTAGCCTGAATTCCCTTTCTGACATACTGTTTATGTCCATATCCAATAGCTCTGATGGAGAGGGCACAGTCTTTGAATTTTTCCCCTATTGGGCTTTCCTCCTCCTAGTCATTTTGGTGAAAGATGGCTGAGGGGATGTGTAGCTGAATGTATCAACCATGGTCCAGGCAAGGTGCACCCTGGAATGCTTCTGAGCAATCAAGAGTCCCCACCAAAAAGAGAAAAAAAAAAGAAAAAGAGAGAGAGAGAGAGACAGAGACAGGAAAAGAAAAAAGAAAAAAAAAAAAGAAGAGAAGACGCAGCCCAAATGGGTCCCAAAGATAAGATTTATAAAGTATACAAAGAAAAACAGACAAACAAAAAGACTAACAAAAGTAAATGACAAGAAAAAAAAAGAACCCAGCCAAAATGAACCCCAAGTATAAGATTTATATACTACCAGAACAGGGGCATCTGAGTGGCTCAGTGGGTTAAAGCCTCTGCCTTTGGCTCAGGTCATGATCCCAGGGTCCTGGGATCGAGCCCTGCATTGGGCTCTCTGTTCAGCAGGGAGACTGCTTCTTCCCCTCTATCTCTCTCTCTCTCTGCCTAACTCTCTGCTTACTTGTGATCTCTGCCTGTCAAATAAATAAATAAAATCTTAAAAAAAAAAGATTTATGTACTACCAGAACAAAAACAAACACACAGAAACACTGACAGAAGAAAAAGATGGGAGGGTGGTTATAAATTCTCAGTGTGGGCAGGGAAGATTATTTTGATTCTTCCTGGGTGTATTTTGATATCTTTGTTAAAGGACTCAACTTTCCTAAGATAAAGGGGGAATAAATCTGGTTTATATATAGGGGTAGTATATATAGGTAGACTGGGGAAAGAGGATTACCTTGAAGCTTATCTCAATATGAATATTAAAAAAAATAGAAAAAAACACGTATATGTATCCAAAAAGTTCAAGTTAAAATATTTTTATGGAATTTGTTGTACTGAACCTCTCATTGTGATGGTAAATAGGCTAAAAATTATAAAAATATAAAAAGATCGAGATTACTGGGAATGAATTAAAAATAAAAGTTGTGTCAATGAAGTATACAGGTTTTAGGGCAATACCAGGAGCTTAATATCTTCTTTTCCCCTGATTTGGGGGTTTTACAGTTTTGTGGGGACTCTGTGGTGGTTGTCCTTTTTTGTTGTTGTTCTTGGTTTTTGTTTTTGTTTTTTGGTCTGGCTTTCTAGGGGAGGGGTGTGCTGCGTGGTTTTTCAGGTAGTCTTGCTAGAGTTTAGTCCTCCTGCCCCCTATCAAGGGGCTGGGCTCTGAGGAAACCGGTTATTCAGGCTTTTGTTTTCTGGAGTTTTTTTTTTCTCCCCTTGCCAGCTTTTGGTGGTTCTTCCAAGGTTTAGAGTAAAGAAAACTGCATCCAGACCTCCGTCTCAGAGAGAAGCCTCAGTTCCCCTCTGGGTGCTCTAGAGCACATAAACTCCCCCTTGGCCTCCAGTTGAGCACATCCCCAGTCACAGTCTCAGGGGTTGCAGGAGCCCCTGCTAGTAACCCCATGTTACCAAAACCATGAGAAGTATTAGTCCAGAGAGCTGCTTCCAGCAGCTGCCTCCCTTGAGGCTGTCTGGGCAGGTCCAGACCCTCAGACAGATCCCAACCAGAGATAGTGCACTGAGATTTTCCTGTCAGCAGGGGCTGAGGTGCTCAGACTCTCCCTGGTCCTAGAGAGCACCAGCTAGCACCTGCATGGACCTCTCTCAGGAGAGGGTGTGGAGCATGATTCAGACCTAGGTTGTGCAGTGTGTGTGCACAGTGGAAAAGCCTGTGGTTCTAGAGAGCGCTGGCTGGCATCCACAGCAGGACTCTCTCACATGCGCTGCCTTCCAGACTCTCACACATGCTGGTGGCTCAGGGAGCAAGGCCTCAATGCTTCACTACACTCTCCATGGCAGGGCGCTGGTGGTGGTGGTCTTGGGTCTATGGGCTTAAGCTCGTGCCCATAACCGCCTGATTCCACCAATTCCCCTTAAGATCTTTTGCTCTTTTTGAGTGCTTTTAACCAGACTCCAAGTTAATGCTGGTTCCCAATCACAGGGCATTCTTGTATTGGGGTATTACTTTACAATGGGCTGCTTCTGGTGGCTCTCTCCCCCTTTTGTTTACCTTCCGATATCAGTACGACATTCCCACTCCACTTTACTTGTCCACTGGTGTCTTCTGCCCCCATAGAGATCCAGAAGTGTATAATCCTACATCTTAGACTGATTTTATGTATGTTCAGAGTGATCTGGTAGGTAATCAGCTCACTTTAGGGGACCAGTTGAAACAGGGTCTCCTACTTCTCCACCATCTTGTCCCCCTCTTGGATGTAACATTAGGTTCAAAATGATTCTCTTATAAACAGCCTATGGGTAAATCCTGTCTTTTTATCCCATCTGGAACCCTGGGACATTTCATTGGAGCATTTAGGCCATTGTCATTGAGAGTGATTATTGAAACATGAGATTTTATTGCCATCATGTTGCCTGTGAAGTCCTTCTTTCTATGGATTGTCGCTATAAACTTCTGGTCTATATTACTCTTGGAGTTTTTCTTTTTTTGTAGAACCCCCTTAATACTTTTTGCAGGGCTGGCTTGGTGTAATTGCTTCTTTTAGTTTCTGCCAGTCTTGGAATTCCTTATTTCTCTAGCCATTTTGAATGACAGCCTTGCTAGATAAAGTATCCTTGACTGCATGTTCTTCTCATTTAGTATCCTGAATGTGTCTTTCCAGCTGTTTCTGGCTTGCCAGGTCTCTGTAGACAGGTGTGACATTATTCTTATATTCCTCCCTCTGTGTATAAGCCGGGGATCCTGTGCACTCTTCTCACTCACAATGCCAAAAATACACAATAACAATGACCATGGTGGCTTTCACTTTCCCTTCTTAGAAATGGCTCTGTTTCTCAGAAAAGGAGCCCTCAGAACTTAAGTTTCATTTTCTGTTCTTGGAAATGCAGAGCTCTACACTGATAGCTGCTTCTCAACTACTGGCCAGATTCCTATGAGGGTGGAGCAGTGGGCAGAGATTATTTAAATCCTTCCTGCTCCTCACAGGCATTGTACGTATTTAATCTCTGAAGTGACCACAGCAGCACACAGGACCTGTTCCAGTGCAAGGCCAGTCTGTGCAGGGGAGTGTTTCTGTTGTGGGCTACAGGGAGCACTTCAACCAGGCTCAGCATTTCCTGTGTTGTCAGGGAACACATTCAGAGCTCAACTTTGACACCAGAAGTTTCCTCCCGGAGCTGGTAAGCAAGAAACCACTGTGGATTGAGTACAGATCAAAAAATAGAATTATAGATCTCTAGGTTTGAGGTTGGGAGAGTCTGCATACTTGATTTGGGGTGCTGTGGACGTGGAAGTCTGAGGGCCAGGATGTTTGGTAGATGGCTGTAAGTCAGAGTTTTTAACTATTTGGGATATTTTCAGAGGGTGGTTGGAGAACAAACCTTATTCCTGTGAACTGCAGAAGGAACATGTGAATGTCTGGGGTGTCAGTGGGAAGGGCTTTTCCCCCCAAGAACTTCTGGATCAGACACCCCCCATCTCATGCCTAAATACTTTCCCTGGAGAGACAATAAAAAAGATAAAGATGAGCTTCAGGTGTTCAAAAATACCAAAAGAGGAGGTATGAGGCCTCTGGGTTTTCAGTGAAACTGATAGACAGCTCTAAACACTGATGGAAATGCCTTTACTTTACACCCAATAAAACACAATTCCTGACTTGGGATTATATTATAAAGCTGCAGTGATCAAGATAATTCAATATTTATGGCACTCTCCTTAGATAAATTGTTCAAGCCATATTGTACTGCACAGTAACAGTGAAGGATGTAGATAATGGGGGTGAAGGGACAGGGCCGACTTTGTCATGTTGTCGAGTGATTGACTGACCTTATAAGAGCAAGGGAGTTAGAAGGACTAGGGAACAGGGTGTCAGGGGCATTATCAGATTTGGTAACCCAAACCTGGATGTCAGATGCACACCCAACTCCCTGCAAAGGCATTTAGATGACAAACAACAAGGCTCTGCAGAAATGTTTGATGCTTTGTCAAAAATTTAAATAGAAAATGAGGAAATCCTGCCATCTATAACATGGGTGTACCATGAAAGCATTATGCTAAGTAAAATAAATCAGACAGACAAATACTGCATGATCTAACTGATGTGTGGAATCTAAAAATAATAAAATAAAATAAGTTCATAGAAAAAAAGACCAGACTTGTGGAGAGGTGGAAGCACAAGGTAAGAAGGAGGAAATTGGAGGAAGTGATCAAAGATACAAGATTTCAGTTATAAGAGAAGTACTAGGGAGGTAATATATAACCTGATGACTATAGATAATGTTCCCATATGACTTATCAGAACATTGTTAAGGCAATATATCTTAAGAGTTCTCATCACAAGAAGAAATGTTCTCTTTTTTCTTCTTCTTTTCCTCTTATTGAGATGATGGGTGTTAGCTGAACCTATTGTAATTGCACAGTATACTTCACAGTATATGTAAATCAAATCATCATGCTATATGCCTTAAACTCATACAGTGATGTATACCCATTGTTCTTCAATAAAACTAATAAAACAATTTAAACAGAGTTACCCAAAGAGCCAGCAATTCCATTGCTAGTTATATACCTAAGAGTGGTGAAAACATACATCTAGGTAAAACCAGCATGCAAATGTTCACAGCAGCATTATTACAATAAACCCTGAGATGGAATTAATGCAGTTGTCCACCCACTGTTCAATAAAGAAAAGTGGTCTATCCATACAAGAGATCATTACTGGGCAAGGTAAAAAAATGAAGTACTGATACCTGCCACAACATGGATGCACCCCAAAACATTATGCTCAGTGAAAGCAGACAGCCCATTGGACTATGCATTCTGTGATTCCATTCATATGAAATGTCCAGAAAAGGCAAATCCTTGGGCATGGAAAATATATTGCGGGTTTCCTAGATCTGAAGAGCAAATGGTATGAGGGAAAGAGAGATGGCAGTCGAGAGGTACAACATATCATTTGAAGCACTGGGTGTTATACACAAACAATGAGTCATGGAACACCATATCAAAAACTAATGATGTACTGTATGGTGACTAACATAACACAATTTTTAAAAGGACATCTTTTGCATAAGGAAAATATTCTAAATTTGATTATGATGGGTGTACAACTTTGTGAATATATTCAAAGCTACTGAAAACTTTAAAGGCATGAATCATAGAATGTGTAAATTATAATTCAATAGTCACTGAAAAAAAAACAGTAGAGGTGCTCATTTAGGAGATGTGCACATGCTAGGGGCTCAGAGGAGACCACTGAGAAATGCACTGCAGCTGTTTTGCCAGTAGTCAGCTCCTAAGCAGGTTATAGACAGAGGGGACTTGAACAAAAGAACATCATGACGGTCATTCAGTCAGGAGCCAGGCAGGTATAGATACTCCTCCGCCCAGACTGCGTGAGCAGGATGTCCCACTGGGGAAGTCTGTAGGGTAGAAGTAAGCTTTTGCCGACTTTCCATACCCTTCAATCCTGAGGACAAATATATCCTCACTGCATATGTCTTCAAACACAAGAATAATTTAGTTATTTTTAACAACAGTGAAAATTGAATTTTCTACTGCATGAGGGCTTACTTCCAGATCTATCAGGGGTCTCCATGCTGCTGGAGATGGTCCTCACATCCAACTCCTCAGATTTCTGCCTCAGAAGGACCACAGTTCAGTGGTGCAGCTTCTTGGTCATCTCCACCTACCCCTGCCTGCTTGTCTTTCCACACAGCTGGGTCCTGATTGTGTCACTGTCCCCCAGACTCTGATGCTTTCATCCAACATGAGCCCTGAACTCACACACAATGAGGAAACTGCCAAGACTCCCAACTGAGTTTGCAGACAACTCAGCCCCAGGGCACTGTGAACATTTTCACATTGGAAATTGAGTCCCAGTGTTTTATCCTGTGAAGCAGGGAAGCTATGCTACCACTTCACAGGACTCTACTGAATGGTTTATGGTATTATCCAGGTGAAGCTCTGGGCAGGTCCACCAGCAACCTCTTGGTGAATTCTCTCTGGTCTTCTTAGGACCTCTGAGGAAGACTTTCCTCTGGTTCTTCTTACTCCCTCCAACTCTTACCACAGTGTATAAAGATTCTGATCTGTGAGTCTGTCTGGGCTGGATCTTCTGCATGCCTTTTCTTGATTAATCTTCCCCAAGCTCTATTAGTTAAACATTATTATTTCTGGTTACAAATGAAGAAATAGTCTCACAGACAAGAAACAAGCTTGAATTACAAAGCAATGATGGGGGATCCAAGACTTAAACCCACAGTTTGATTCTCTGTTTCTATCTAAACAGGAGGGGACAAGGATCCTAGTTAATGCTGAATCTCCAGCCCCAGTGATGACTGGATGCTGATGCTTCTTCTGGGGACCTGCGTCTACTTATTGTTATCAACTACCATTTACCCCTGCCTAGATGCACCCCAAATTAGTAAATTTTGGGAATGAATGGAAATCACAGTGCCGTCTCTGTTCCCACCGTCACTCCACATTAAAGAAAATGCACTGATAGGCAAGTGTGAAGGAAAATCCCACAATGTGTCCCCACTTCTCAGGACTTTTTCAGGGAACTTGACTACCCCCTTGGGAGATAGAAAGGCCTAAAGAAATGATCAGAGGATGCAGGGATTTCAGAGGGAAAGAAGCTCATGAAATATGATGTAATCACCATCTCATCTGCTTTGAGACCAGAATCCACTGAGGCCTTTGCCCACAAAGACTGCAATGGTCTCCACCAGGAGCGCCTGTGACAAAATTGAAGTGCAATAGGTCAGCAAGGATGGTGTCTCCTCCTGCATGGAGTGGAGGTGCCCTGAGCCCAGTGAGGGAGTGAATGACATGGTGGTAAGGAAGAGCATTCATGGATAATGCTGAATAAAAGATAAAAAGATGGAGTCCTAACCTTGGTTAGGCTGGAGGAACATTCTGAAATAAGAATACTTAAGAGTAGCCCTCCCTTACCCTTGTGCTCAAAGCTTTCTTTAAGAACTCTCTTGACCATTAGCAATAGCCTGGGTTCTTGTTTATGGGGTACATAGAGTTTCTAGGAGACCTGAACTGCCATCATGACTCTAGGGAGACAATCTCCTGGATGAGTTCCAGGCTCACTGATTTGGTTGTATGAAGGGGTTTCTTCTGTCCCTGAGCATACTGTGTATTCTGCTTGCCTATAAGTTTGCCCCTACTATGGGATGGGGAAGGCTGGATGACCTTATTCGTGGTCCTGTGGGGCCCAGGCCAGCCAGAACATAATACCTGGCCTAGAGCCCTTGAATTATTTTCCTGGTTTGTCTAAATCCCATCACATCTCACCTTGATTTCTCATGTGCTAGATCAATTGAAAACAACCCTGTCTCTTCAAAAAGTTAAAGTCCAAGACAGTAATGTTTCATCCCATATTAGAGACTTGATATCATGAAAATACAGAGGCAGATCTTGCACTTACAATAAATAATTCCCTAGACTCTACCTGGTGCCCTCAGTGCCCAGCAGGTATAAGACTCATTTCTGCTAGACGAATGGAGCATGATATACCATTGTACACCTTTCACTTGGTTGTTGATAGGTAAATTAATCTTCCTTCCTAAATCTGTCACCTGAAATGCTGAATCCAGCTCATTCACACCCCTTTGGAAAGCAAGTAGAGGCTGGGGCATGGTACAACCCCTTCTATCCAGAATGGGAATGGCAGCTTAGCATATACCTACACTTTTTCAGACCATTTCTGTGACTATGTCTGACCCAAACATGGATTTGGCACATGTCCACTCACCTGAACCCAGGCTGGAACCTGATCCTCTCCCCAGATACCTGTTCATTTTGTCCCTCCCCTGCACCTAGTCCTGGACAACCCTACTCATGAGACTTTTTAAGGCAGTACTGTGCCCATGTGACATTGCCAGGTCAGGGTGGGAGATAGGTAACTCTGGGAGAGTTTGCAGAGTCTTCCAGGAGTGGTCCATGTGTAGATATTGTTGTGTGTGAGCCTCCAAGACACGGACCCAGAGGTTGAGGAGAGGCCGTCAAAGATCAGCCCAGGGAGCAAGTGGCCCCCAAGCTCCCAACTTGCAGATCGTTCTCATGTTATACCTATGATCTCCTCTATCTGAACAGGCTTTGAGGGTCCCTGAGTAAAGAAACATGGGACTTTAGAGAGGGAGTTCAGAGAGCAGATTCAACTAGGGAGGGAAGTTTTGCTTGCAAGAGAACCAGACCCTGTGAGCAGAGCTTTCAAAGTCTTCTGAAGGAGACCAGTCATAAAAGATGCATTTCACATAGGAATTAAGTACACACTCAACACACAAGCATGCACACACATGCATACACCTGAATAATGATTTGACCAACAATTTGCCTACCCTTCATTTTGATCTACTGCATCTATTCCAATGGGTAACTTTTTAAAACTCTTGTTATAATGCACCAGATAGATATCATGAGCTAAGGAGCTCAAGTCAGAGGCCGTCATCTGTCCTGTTGTTTTCACACTTTACCCAGGCAGAACAGAATCACTCCAGCCCCTTGCTCAGGGTAGTAACCTCAGGAGGACTGTGTTTGCATTTCCCAGGGAGTATAGGTCTCTGGATGGTTCCTGTGCCAGGGGCTCCAGGGACACTACACCAGACTCAGCACTTTTTGTTGTTTTAGTAGAAAAGTAATCTCTGACATCAGAAATCTCCTTTCTCTCCAGGCCTGGTGAGTGAGCAAATTGCGTACTTGCAATGATGAGATACTGACTTAAAGCTTGGAGGATTGATGTGCAAGTCTGACTCGTTGAAGGGTAAGACTTCATCCAGCTGTCCATGCCCTCGTCTTTGGAGAAAAGAGCACCATAGTCTGAAGATGCTTCTTTTTCTTCATTTTTTATCAGAAAGTTTTAAGAAAATTTGGAATAAGCAGGATGTTTAATGGGTGTCTCCATTGGAAACTATCCCATCTTTAAAGGCAATCTAGTCTTTCATACCATAGAGATATTTCAAAACTCAATAAGTTTTAATAATTGGTAGCAATGTAGAATAATTCTTTTGTTGGGAGTTTCTTCCCATCCATTCAGGCTATAACAAAACACCACAGACTAGGTTGCTTATGAACAGAAATATACTTCTCATACTTCTAGAGGATAGGAATACCCAGATCAAGGCATCTTTGTTTCAGCATTTGGTAAGAGCTAACTTCCAAGGTGGACATGGCAGAGTGGGCAGCTGGGTCTCTGAAGTCTCTAAATCTTGAGTCTCTGAAGCACTAATCCAGTCACGATCATTCTGCCCTCATGACTGAGGTACCATCCACAAATCTGCCGATTAATACAGAGCTTTGAGCTTATGAAATTAAGTGGAGGACATAAACATTCAGCTCACAGCAGTCATATAGATAAAAATCTGTCTGGGGAGATTCAGAGTCAAGAGTGCTAATCATTACAGTATGGAGCTGCCATTGTCTGTGGAGGTTTAATTGACTTCCCACTCTCACCTGAGAATATAGCACCTTTGTCCTGTTTCAGTATTTTTGAAATATAATTTTCTCTTTGGGGGATTTCTCATTTAACAAGTAATATCATCGGGGCACCTGGGTGGGTCAGTGGGTTGAGGCCTCTACCTTCGGCTCAGGTCATGATCCCGGGGTCTTGGGATTGAGCCCCGTATCAGGCTCTCTGCTCAGCGAGGAGCTTCCTCCCCCACCCCCTGCCTGCCTCTCTGCCTGCTTGTGATCTCTGTCAAATAAATAAATAAAAATTTTTTTAAAAAGTAATATCATCTTCATAAGTAAGCTGATAAATAAAGTCTTTAACACACATTTATTTTATATATTTTTGGGCAATCATGATTCTCCCTCTTCTGAAAATTTTCCTTGCAGGACTTGCAAGATGGGGATGAGCATTGAGCACATCCTTCCTCTTAAAAGCATACTGGTAGTCCCATAAGACACAACTGTGTAGGTATAAATATTTTTAAAATCACAGTTTCCTCTCTCATAGTGAATGATAAAAGTCCCCATTACTAGTAACCTAGTAATATTTCCTTGAATTGCCATGATTTAATCAGATATCTAGATTTAAAGTCTGTGCAGAATTGAATAGGGAAAATTAGAGCTCTTATCTATTTCCTCTGCCACTTCCTGTTACATGATCTAAATCCCACCCAAATTCTCTCATGAGGTGAGGCAAATGGACATTAAGCTCCCATGAGGCAATTTTTACCACAAGGACTAAGTGCTTGGCTATCCCCCTTATGGAACATACGTCCTGATGGGCTTTTCTCTGGCCCCTGCCTCTCCCAAAAGATAAGTCCTGACCCTATTTGTTGCAAGAGATGGGAGGTGAATTATGTCTGCAACTCTTCTGTGCTCCCCAATGTGTTGGCCTGACTGATTCTTTCTGCAGAATGCAAGTGTGTTAAGCTCTATATTGAAATTTTAGGAAAAGCAGAATGTCTGCAATAGTTTCTCATTGTTGTGTAATAAATTAACACAAATTTAACAGCTTAAGACAAAACCCCCGATTTATTGGCTTATAGTTCCAGAGAGAGTTATCCAACATGAAATCTTAAAGGAGCTAAAATCAAGATGTCAGTAGGTGATGGGTATTAAGGAGAGTACTTGTTGTGATGAGAATGGAGTATTATATGTAATGATGAATCACTAAATTCTACTCCTGAAACTAATCTTACACTATATGTTTACTAATTGTAATTTAAATAAAAAAACTTGAAAGTAAAAATAAAATAAAACAAATCAAATCAAGGTGTCAGCAAGGTTGCTTCCTTCTGTAGGCTCCAAGAGACAATCTATTTCTTTGTCTTCTCCAGCTTTTGGAACCTGCCTGAATTCCTTATCTTGTGACCCTTCTTACATCTTTCTGGATCTTCATTTCTATCTCTGCCTCCATCATACCATCTCCTTTTCTTCATTTGGCCTTGCTTCCTTCTTAAAAGGTTCCCTGTGATTATATTGAGCCCATTTGGATTATCCAAGAAAACCTTTTCATCTGAAGATCCTGAACTTCTTCATACCAGCAAAGTGCCTTTTGCTATGCAAGGTCACACATTCACAGGCTCCGAGGTTCAGGATGTGAAAACTTTGAATACTGTTACTCTCTATTCCACAGGTCCTGACTCTTGTGAAATAGGAAACATAAGAGTAGACAAGTAGTTTCTACTGCAGCATGAAAACAAAATTCATCAGGAAAAGTAAATCAGAGTAACATTAATAAATGTGAGAGAATGGGAATGGGCAGTTGAGACCTGTGTGTTTGCTCACCTGACATTGCGTCTGTTCTGCTGTTCCATTTGTCTTCCTAATTCACTTTCCTTTTCCCACAGACGTTCCATAGTCAGCCAGCATGGATAAGTTCCTACATGACTTCCTGAGGAAAGAATTTTCAGCAGTTGGCCACCAATTTTGTCCCTCACTACACCACATTAATCAGTAAGGTAGGGGGAATCCTCTCTCAAG